CCTGCCGATATTTTACAGTTTTGCCCAGTTCCCCTCTTCCCTTTCAAAACTGTTTAGCCAACCACTTTAGAAATCAGGAATTTGCCCTGGCCGGTTTGGCTCAGCAGTTAGAGCGTCGGCCTGCGGTCCGGAGAGACCCGGGTTCGGTTCCCGCTAAGGGCATGTACCTTGGTTGCAGTTTGTCCCCGGCCCTGGTTGGTCGTGCGGGTGGCAGCCACTCGATGTGTCCCTTTCACATCGATGTTTCTCTCTCTCTATCTCTTCCTCTCTCTCCCTCCCACTCTATCTGTACAAAAAATGGAAAAATGTCCTCGGGTGAGGATAAAAAAAAAAAAGAAAGAAAAAAGAAATCAGGAATGTATTGCCTTCTTATTGTTAGCTCAGAGGCTGGCCTAGTACTGGAGAAGGGGGAAGACAGAGGATACACCGAATGCACATGCCACGTGCTCATTCAACATGGTCCTGTGCACACAGCCTTGACTGAAACAAAAAGAGTTCCTGTTCTTTTTAGCTTGGATTCTTTTACTTAGCAACATACATTTAAAGTTCCTACATTTCTTTCATGGCTTTGTACCTCATTTGTTTTTAGTGCTGAATAATATTCTATTGTCTGAATATACCATGGTTTACTTACACATTTACCTACTGAAGGACATCTTGCTTGCTTCCAGGTTTTGGTATTTATGAATAAAGCTGTTGTCAACATCACTGTGCAGGTTTTCATGTGGACGTAAGTTAACGATGCCATTTTAAAAGATTTATATGATTTCAAAGGTTATTGTAGATGCCAATATAATTCTGTTGCTTATTACCATTAGCAAGTTCGCAAATCTTTGCCATTTTCTAGAATGATTGTCAATTATAAAGAAATAAAAGCAGGCCCTGGCTGGTTTGGCTCAGCAGTTAGAGCATTGACTCGCAGGCCAAAAGTCACAGGTTCAATTCCAATCAAGGGCACATACCTTGGTTGTGGTTCGGTCCCTGGCTCTGGTCAGGGTCATGTAGGAGGCAACCAGTCAATGTGTCTCTCCCACATTGTGTTTCCTTCCTTCTCTCCTTCCTTCCTTCTCTCCTTCCTTTCTTTTCCCCTTCCTTCCTTTTCCCCTTCCTTCCTTCCTTCCTTCCTTCCTTCCTTCCTTCCTTCCTTCCTTCCTTCCTTCCTTCCTTCCTTCTTCCTCCCTCTCTCCCTCCCTCCCTCTGTCTCCCATCCTCCCACTCTATCTGAAGATAAATAGAAAAAACTAACCTCAGGTGAGGATTAAAAAAAAAAAGAAGAAATAAAAGCAGAATAGTTTGAACAGTCAATAAAGCTTATTATGTAAAAACGTATTTGTGGTCTATCATTAACTCATAAAAAAATAAAAGTGCCTTTTGCTTTGTAAGGCACAGTGGGACATTTTAATAGTAGGGCAAATGGCCTTCTTATAGAGAAGAATTTGTCAGGTTTTTACCAATCAGCAGTTTTAGAGTACATAGTGTGATAAAGGAAACAGTGAAATCTATGTAATAATGAGCTGTGTTGTAAAAAGTTTTCTCACATGTGAAATTATTTTAAAATTATTTATCAATATTTTTTCAACAAATTGACCAAAGCATAGTCAAAACACAGGATTTCTATACCACAGGATGTCACTGGTAGAACATCACATATTTCAGAGACCTCAAGTGCACAAACATATAAATAAGTTGTTCTGTGTTGAGACAGACTTTTTATATTATTATTAAGATATAAACATATAAACTATCAGAAAAATTATTTGATGAATTGTCAACCTCCAGCTACATTTACTTTTTAAAGATTTTGTGGTTGTTATTAATCCTTGACTGAGGATATTTTTTCATTGATTCGTAGAGAGAATGGAAGGGAGAGAGGGAGGGAGGGAGAGAGAGAAACATCAACGTGAGAGATGCCTCCAACACGCGCCCGGACCTTGGCTGGAGATCAAACTTGCAATCCAGGTAGGTGCCCTTGACTGGGAATTGAACCCAAGAGAAATTAGTCCTATTTTCATAATGTTATGAGTCAATAGACATATTTGAAAATTTACATAGTAAGTGATATCTTTTAAATAATCTTTTTGTTTTCTGATGATCTCAAACTTAGAGACATTGCAAATACAGTATAAAGAATTTTCCCCCCTAAATGATTTGAGAGTAAGTTCCAGATGCTCATCACCACTAAAATCTTTAGTGTGTATTTCTTATAAGTAAGAACATTTTCCCACATAACCATCAATATCAGAGAATTAACACTGATACCTTATTATCATTTAAGCCTCAGAACCATTTAAGTTTCATGCATTGCCTCCAAAATACCCTTCTCAGTAAAAAGATCTAGTTCACAATCATTCCTTGCACTTGTTGTCATGTTTCTTCAATTTCCTTTGCTCTGGAATAGTTTCTCAGTCTATCCATACCTTTCATGACCTTGACACTTTTGAAAATTGCAGGTTCATTATTTGGTAGAATATTTCTGAATTTTGGTTGTCTGATGTTGCATCATAATCAGATTTAGGTTATGTACCTCTGGCAGGAAATTCACAGAAGTGATGCTCATTTTAGCCTATCAGGTTCGTTTTGTCCCATTACTGATGATGATCACTTTGGCCACTTGATTCAGGTGATGTCCCTCAAACTCTCCACTATAAAGTTGGCCTTTGTAATTAGTAAGCATTTTGTAGAGGGGCATTTTAAAACTCTATCAAAATCCATTCATTGAAATCTCAATTTATTCATCAATTTATTTCTATCAGGTGGATTGACAGTTTTCTACTTTATTCAATGGATTATAATTCACTAACAGTCATGATTAATTTTGATATTCAAATTGTCCAAGATTTGGCCAATGGGAGCTCATTCAATCTCACTTTGGTGTCCTTTTGACATTTTCCATTGTTTTTTGAGTACTTCCTTGATTTCTGGCATAATAAGATGTTTCGGGATCATCTTTACTTCCTCTGCCATGGCCCTGGGGTCAGCCATTTCTCTGAGGAGCTCTGGTTCCTTTTATGGTAGAATGATACTTAGAAGCCAAGGTGTGGCCTCTAGGTATGTTCATTGATATTGGGGTATCCCTGCTCGCAGGTCATCTCAGTGGACAGTCTAGAAAATACATGCATAGTTATTCATACTTATACACAGTTACATCTATTTTTATCTCTCTATATATCTCTAGACAGAAAATTTATGATTTCAAATCCAATTCCCAGCCAACTCTATAAGGTTCAGTCTAGTTTTCACCCTTTATATGTCGGTAACTCCTTTCCCTAACAATGAGAAACGAACTCTTAATTATTCTTATAGTTACTATGTTGACTAACCTTTTCTGGCATGGATGCCCTCCTCAACCCCATTCAGCTCTGACTCCCTATAATGGGCATCTTTCCTATGTGAACACTCCCCTTGCCCTGTTTCGGATCTGATACACAATGCCAGGCTCCCTCTGTGGACACCCTCCTTGCCCCAGTGGGACTCCAAGCTTCCTCTCTGGGCTACCACAGCTCATTTATCCTCCCAGCTAGATGAACACCTTCTTCTGACTTGCCAAATAGCTTTATGACTCAACTGTTTGGTAAGAGAAGTGGTGGAGTAAAGGGCTAGTAAGTGATGTTTATAGAAAAAACTGGGAGAAGTTGAAGGGGATCGGAACATGCCACCTCAAAATTTGCCACTTTGGCATAAACATTATTTTGAACCTAAGGAAACTGAGAGAAAGCAAACATTGGAAGAGCTCTGTGCCTTCCCTCTATCTGCCTAAAAGTAGGGCGTACATTTCCCTTTAAGGTATTCTCGTCTTTCCTGTACCAGGAGATCAACCCTTAGCACTGGAGATGGAAAGCTGGCATTGACAAGTGTGAGCAAGCAAACCTTACTTAAATAACATTTTTATTCAATTGGTTTCCTGTATATTTACCTTCCTACAAGAAGCCCAACTCCCCTCCCCCATTTCTTTTGTCCAGTCACTTCACAATTTGTCACCCTTTGTTAAAATGGTATATAAGCCCTGAAGTCTAACCTTCTCTTGAATATTCATTTCTTTTCTGTGGAACCTCTACGGATGCAAAAATTTAAATATTAACATCAATCAAATTTATAAACTTTCCACCTGTTAATCTGTCTTTCTTAGTTCAGTTTGCAGACCCTAGTTACAGAATATAAGGAGATAGAGGAAAATGTTTCTTCCCTTATAAAGTCATAAGCAAAATCTAAAAAAGTAGAAAAAAATTTGTTTTCCTTTACACTGTGATATGTCATGAAGCTCTATAATTAAGAATAGCAGTGTCATATTATTATAGCACTAATAAGTAGGAAAAATGATATTGAGTATCCCTGGCAGAGTTGCCCACAGAGTTACACAAGATATAGTTCATAGTGGAGCAAGAAAACATGCTATAGGCGTGTAACCCAGCTAACTTGCTACCCAAATGCTGTTCTAACCCTAAATATTTCTGTGGGTGATGGTTTTAAAGCAGGGAGAGAAAAGAGAGTTTATATTTCAATGTGGATTATCTTAACTATCCTATTTACACTGACACTTATCAAATCTCTGTGGCTTAGGTGCTAATGAGAGTTTATCTTTTTCTACCTCCAAGTAGCTTCCAGACTCCTTGGCTGCCTCTTTCTCTGGGTTTGGACTTCCAGCTACCTCTGCATATCTTAAATCTTTCTCATGCAGAGTAAATTAGCTCTCTTCCAAACATACGTATAGCCATACCTGGGGGCTCACAATCTCTTTATAAGGTATCAGAAATGATAAAAAAAAAACTAAAAAAACCTCCCCATAAGCTTATCCAAAGGATGATTATGTGCGGCACTATTAGGATATGGGATGGAATACAAAAACATACTGTAACAGAAATTAATATTTTATAGCGGCAAAATGTACACAACAAAATTTTAACACATTCTGAGTGCACACTTTAGTGGCATTAAGTACATTCACATTTTTGTGCAACCATCACGACTGTCCATTCACAGAGCTTTCCATCATCTGAAACTGAAAAAGAAAATGGCTGCATGACACGAAATGTGTGGCAATGCCTTAACCATGTACATGTTGTGTCAACCCGAGGGCCTCTCCACCCTCGCCAAGGGGGGTGCTAAGCTGCTCCCCTTTCATATGCTAGTAAAACTTCTTGGGTGACATAATCCCTTGGCTTCAAAGCTGCCATGGTTATTACTACTTTACTTAGAAGATGTGTTTATACAGCTGTTCTCAGGTGACTACCTTACTGTGCAAATTATATTTTGTTGAGTCTTTATAGTCCTTCCACTTTATAAAAATTATATTTTAGCCCTGGCCGGTTTGGCTCAGCGGTTACAGCGTCAGCCTGTGGTCCACAGAGACCCGGGTTCGGTTCCCGCTAAGGGCATGTACCTTGGCTGCAGCTTGTCCCCGGCCCTGGTTGGGTCGTGTGGGTGGCGGCCACTTGATGTGTCCCTTTCACATCGATGTTTCTCTCTCTTCCTCTCTCTCCTTCCCGCTCTGAGTAAAAAATGGAAAAATGTCCTCGGGTGAGGATGGAAAAAAAAAAATTATATTTTATTGTGGTAAGAACACTGAATATGAGATCTACTCTCTTTACACATTTGTAAGTGTCCAGTAGAGCACTGCTCGCTACAGGCACAGGTTGCACAGCAGCTCTCTAGAGCTCGCCCATCTCCCAGAACTGACCTTGTGTGTCTGCTGGTTGGCAACTTCCCATTTCCTCCAGCTCCCAGCCCTGGGGACCCGCCGTTCTACTCTCTGCTTTTATGAGTTTGACTATTTTAAACACCTCATATAAGTAGAGAATCATGAAGTATTTCCTTCTGTGATTAGCTTAATGTCGTCAAGTCTCATCCTTGTTCTCACGTAAGGCAGAATTTCTTTTGCAAAAGGGTATTGGTATTTGAATGTGAGAGATCACTGGTTGTATTAGTTAGGATCCTTTAAGTGTTGTTGAAAGGTCAGCTTTTAAATACTTTTATATTTGAATTGACATACTTATGGGCTTGTAAAGGCTGCAAATTGGATAGACCAATAATAAAATTGGTAAGTACAGACCCAGACTTATGCAGAGCATTGAACCTCGAACACTGAGTAACTGCATTTGGTAAGTAAGGTTTGCATAGAGTGTGCAGTGGTGAGACTATGTCATTGTTTACTGACCAGCCAGTATATAATACTTAACCCTTGGGAGAATACTATTCTGGTGCAAAATACTATTTATATATGGAGTCGATTTTTTTAAAAATATATAACCAAGAGTCACAAGATGAAAGAGGAAGAAGCTAAGCCCTTGATGTTTCTGTGTTGTTCTTTGCACGTGTCCTTGGTATGTCTCCAGTGTTGTGAGTGCGGGCAGAACCAGAAAAAAGGTGGGATATACTCAAAATCCATTACAATACTTTTTTAGGATTGTGGCCCTGTCAGATGGAAGGGATAAGAAAAGAATAAAAATTTAATGTGACTGCAAAAAGATTAGTGAAGGAAGTTAGCTACAATTTTATCTAGTCACAGGATTCTGCCTGCTCGAATTAGGTCAGAAAATGAAAAAGTTATAGGTAAAAGGTAAAGATATGACAGGAAAAATGGTGAAAGACACTGAAATTAGCGAAAAAGATAAGGCTCATCGGGCCAGGTTATCTCCACCTTACACTGTCTTTAAATTATTTTACAACTCTGTAAGTTGTAGAAAATGTAGAGTAATGCAACTTATTTTTGTCCATAGAAATGTAGATTGTGTGGGACAGAAACAAATTGTGAGATACACTGACTATTGAATCATGATCATTTTTACATGTGTTAAGAAAATTTATTTCAGCATTCCTATTGGCGTGTGTGTGTATGTGTATGTGTGTGTCGAATTCTCCTATGAGTTGGTTGTAACATCTTACTGGTTTCCTCAGTAGCAAATAAGTTCAATAAAGTTTTTGAGACATTTAATTTTTATATCTGTATGAGAGTCATAATTTTATTCCCTCCTCCCACTGTTCTTCCTCCTTCTTTTACTTCTTTTTTAAAATGTCATTTAACCGGTTTGGGAACCCACTTGGAACCCCAGAGTTGGTTTGAAGGTTATTTTAAGCTGAAGACATTTGAGAATCAATAGATACAGAAAGAAGCCTTCTGGGATCTTTCCTTATCCTATAAAAAGCACAAACTTCTGGGAAATGAGGTGGCCAAAAACTCTCTTTTTAGGGAGGAATCTACTCTCAGGAAAGAGACCAAGAGTGAACCTACCCTAAGTGTCATGGCCAAGAAGAAGAGGGGAAGACTAGTTGCATCTGCATAAAGAGACATTATCACAAAATCTAAGCTCAGCTTTGCTCTCCTGAAAACATATTTGTCTCTCCTAAAAAACTGTATTTGTTTTTCCCTAGAAGTCTTTTCTTTTCCCTAAGTCAGGTATATAAACTTCGAAGTTTAACCATAGTAAGCTAGCTTCTTTTGTTAGCTCCTGTTGGGATGCATACAGATAAATGTTTTCTGTTGTCAGTCTGCTCCTTGTCTGTTTAATTCGTAGGCCCCAGGTGCTAAACTTAAGAGGGCAAAAGAAGAGTTTTTCTTCTCCTACACAGGTCTAACTTAAACACGGGAGATGTGTTCCCTACTGTCAGAGCTTCAGGTAGGATCATCCTGGATATAAGAAACTCCTGGTAAAAAATTGTTGGCTCAAAAGTAACCTCAACTTGTTTGAGACAAAATTTCTGTCCATCTGGTATGGTAAAATTCTCCCCTTCATTGATATGTGTATTTTCAACCATGATAAATTTTGGAATTAAATGTAGAGATAATGAAATGAATAAAACATATAGTATTGTACTTTATTTTAATATAGGAATAATTTGTGCTTAATGGCAATTTAAAGTGTTTCTAAGCCCAGCTGGTGTGGCTCAGTTGGTTGAATATCATCCCATGTACTAGGAGGTCACAGGTTCGATTCCAGTCAGGGCACCTGCCTGGGTTGGAAGCTTAATCCCCAGGGGGTCATGCAGGAGGCAGCCAGTCGATGTTTCCCTTTCATTGATGTTTTTTACCTCTCTCTCTCTCTCTCTCTCTCTCTCCCTTCCTCTCTCTGAAATCAATAAAAACACACTTTTAAAAAAGTGTTTTTAAGTGTTTTAAGAGTGTTTAAGCGTTTAAGCAAATTACATAATTAAAGAATAAGATAAACTTACTAATTTTAGTTTAATATGTGATTGAATTTAAATGTGATTTTGTTATAAAAATTAATAAGCAGCATTAAAATATTTGAGAGCATTTAACATTTATTATATTTAAAAATATTTTATTGATTTTCTAGAATTTTTAAGCAAGTATTTATGTATTTAAAATATAATCAATCACTACATTTAAAATGCTGTTTACTTTGAGAATCAAACCATCGATTTGGAATATAAGGAAGCAAAAAACACCCAATCAAAACAGCAAAAAAAAAAAAAAGAATAAAAAATATGGCCCTGGCCAGTTTGGCTCAGCGGTTAGAGCGTCAGCCTGCGGTCCGGAGAGACCCGGGTTCGGTTCCCGCTAAGGGCACGTACTTTGGTTGCAGTTTGTCCCCGGCCTTGGTTGGTCATGCGGGTGGCAGCCACTCGATGTGTCCCTTCACGTCGATGTTTCTCTCTCTCTCTCCCTTCCTCTCCCTCCCTCCCACTCTATCTGTACAAAAAAATGGAAAAAATATCCTCGGGTGAGGATTAAAAAAAAAAAAAAAATGAAGATAGTATAAGGACAACTTCAAGCATACCAACATTTGCATCATGTAAGTGCCAGTAGGAGAAGAGAGAGGGCAAGAAATTGAAAACCTATTTGAAACAATAATGACAGAAAAATTCCCTAACTTGGTGAAGGAAGCAGACATACAAGTACAGGTAGCAGAGAGAGTCCCAAACAAGATGAACCCAAAGAGGTCCATACCAAGAGACATCATCGTCAAAACGCAAAAGATTAAAGACAAAGAGAGAATATTAAAAGCAGCAAGAGAAAAGCAGTTTGTTATCTACAAAGGAGCTCTTGTAAGTCTGTCAGCCGATTTCTCAAAAGAAACTTTGCAGGCCAGAAGGGCGTGGCAAGAAATATTTTAAGTGATGAAATGCAAGGACCTACAACCAAGATTATTCTATCCTGCAAAACTGTCATGTAAAATCAATGGCCATATAAAGAGTTTCCCAGACAAAAAAAAAGCTAAAGGAGTTTATTACCACCAAACCAATATTATAAGAAATGTTGATGGGTCTTCTTGAAGAAGAAGAAGATAAAAAATATGAACAATAAAATGGCAATAAATACATATCTATCAACAATTGAATGTACAAACAAAATGAGCAAGCAGAACAGACTCATAGATATAGAGAACTTTTTGTTGCTTGCCAGATGGGAGGGAGGTTGGGTGGAAAAGATGAAGGGATTAAGAAGTACAAATTGGTTGTTAGACTGATGAACCTCAAAGGGAATAGGGGAGGGAGGGCGGGATGAGATAAACCAAAGAACTTCTATGCACATATGCATAACCAATGGACATTTATAATAGTGTGGGGAAAGTAGGAGGGGGGCGGGATTGGAGAGGAGGGGTTCAATAGGGAAAAAGGGGTGGGGATCTGTAATACATTCAACAATAAAGATAAGTTAAAAAAAATAAAATGCTGTTTAAATTAGTTCAATATATTTAACGTATTTTAAAAATGGGACTCATTGTTAAAAGGGAGTTCAGTTCATTCAACTTGAGTTAAATATTAATAAAGTAAAAAGTGAAGGTAGTTGTTTTTATTTTATAAGATTCATAAATTGAACAATGTTTGTAAATTGAAGCTTAAGGCTTATGAAAACAAGGTGTTTGAATTTGTATCCCTGCTCTCTTGCTAACCTGTCATTCTAGAGGTTGACAGAGCAATCATTTTTTCCTAGCTTCTAGTGGCTAAGAGGCACAGTTCTGGCTAAGACACATGGGTTGCAGCCTGCTGAGGAAGTCTTGGAAAAATATTATTTGCAAACACAAACACAAAGCATTAAAGAAAAAGATAAGGATAGCAGCAGGAAGAAAATGGCTTCATTTGAATAACCTTTTGCTTATATTTAAATTATATTTATTTTGTCCTAAAGGTAGTAGCAAGTTTTTTTTTTTAGATAGGATTGAATAGATGA